TTTGGAAAAAATTTGCAGTTCTTTATGTCCTTGAAATGTTTCACACTAAAACATATAGACAAAGTTCAAATGTTACCTGAATGAATTCCTTTTCATTTGTGGTTTTAATACAATCATTTGTCTCTCTTTTCATTCACTTTTATGCTTTGTTTTTTTCCCTTTTTATTTATTTTTTGAGTAATTAAAATACTTAACACTGTTCAAAAGTGAAAATTACATCCATTCAGAAATTTTTACTTTTTTGCACCACCTTCCCATATTCTGTAGCTAACCATTTCATTAGTTTGTAGATTATCTTTCCTGTGTTTCTTTATCCAAAAGCAAGCAAATGTTTATTTTTATGTACTTTACTTCTTCTTTTCTCATTTAAAAGTAGATGTTATAATTGCTTTATACCTTGTTTTTTTAACAACTTTATTTTTTGATTACTATATATGTAAGTATTTTTCTGTTTTAGTTCATGGAGGTCTCTTTCTTTCTTTGTCCTCCTCCTCCTCTTCCTTTGTCCCCTTCTGTCCCTCCTCTTCCTTCCTTTGTGTTGTAGTGTTATAAAGGTGTACCCTAATTCATTCAGCTAGTCTCTTATGGATGGGCGTTTAGGTTGTTTATAAGTTTCTGATGTTTTATAGAATCTGTATAGAATTATATAGTGACAAACTGTGGATGTGTAGTTTTATATTTGCGGAAGTGTATCTTAATAAATTTATAGCAGTGAGCTTGTACATTCAAGAGTAAATGTATATATAGTTTTGTTAGCAGATAATCTGGGCAAAACCTATTAGGCAGAGGGTACAGCAGGTGTAAAAGCTCGTAGGCAGGGGCATGCGATGTGTTCTAGGAATAGAAAAGAGGCCACGTGAAGACCAGGCCTCGGGAGAACAAGTGACCTGCCCATATCCCATACACCAGTGGCAGAGCTGAGTTAGAGTCCTGGCCTCCATGTCTCCAGTCCGTTGCAACACACGTATTAGACAAGGAATGCATGCATGAGAGACAAGAATGCATTTGACCAAGGCCAGCAATGTCAGGGCTGTTAGGTCAGAAGGGGGAAAAGTTTCTTGGATTCGAGTCAGATAAGACTTGGCAGATGAGGTGGGACATGAAGGGTGATGAGGATTGGAGTAGCAGCTAGGAGAGAGCAGAGCCGTATTTCTAGCTTTTAGAACTATGTGTGGATGACTGCTTGGAGGAGAAAGTAAATGCATGGCTTGTTTGGGAGATGATGCCAGGAATGGAATGTTTATCTTGGCAGAATGCGGGAGAAATTAGAAATAGATAAGTTAGCAGTAAATTGGGCCTTATAATGATCCTTGGATTCTAGGCAGATATTCAAAGTTGATTTAATTACCTCAAGAATCATTGTACATTTTTGAGATAGGAATAAGATGACATGTTCCTTCATGTCTTTTATAGTTTGTGGTAATTGTGTCTGTTTTTCTCTTGAAAAATTCATTCACTTAGTCGTTCTAATGACTGTTTACTAGTTATCTATGTGCCTGGTTCTCAATGTTAGCTGATACTTTGGTATGCTGTTTTCTCTTAGATTCTTCACATCTGTCTTAGAGAATACTCAGTTGCCACCCAAGATTTCTAGCATCAGTTAGGTTTTCTAATTGCTCACTGCTCTCCTTAGAACTTAATTGGTTTTAAGGTAGGGAGGAAAAACCCTGCACACTTGAAAAACAAACAGGATAGGACATGATCCTTGCTCCTAAGTAAGGGCTTGAGGAATGTGACAAAGGAGTACTTAATGTCTTTTCACTTTGGAGAAGTAAGTGGTAGTTTGTTGTATCCCTTGTTTTCCTTATACTGGAGTTAGGTCTAGAACTGTGCTGTCTAATCATGTGTCTATAGAGGACTTGAAATGTGAGTAGTCTGAATTGAGCCGCGAGGTAAAAGCATAGAATACACTTCAGATTTCAAAGACTTACTGTGACAAAGAGAACATAGAATACCTCTATAATAATTTTCTTTTATGTTGATTATGTGCTGAAATAATATTTTGAATAAATTAGATTAAATAAAATATATTAATGTCATTGATTTTGCTTTACTTTTTAAAAAAGGGCTACTGGGAAATTTTAAATTGCATATATGACTTGCATTTTATTTCTGTTGGATGGCATGGTCTATAGATAATGAGGTTTAGGTTAAACATTACTTCCTGTTGTCCCACTCTTAGTGATGCTAAATTTTATAATTTCTTCAATCCTTCATTTTAAAGATACATTTTGATTTTGATCACTTGCAGAACTTTCCATTATAAAGGTATATATTTTTAAAATCACTTTCAGAATGTTTGTTGTAAAGATACATTAAAAAAAAACAACACTTTTTAGAACTTTCCATTGTAAAGATACATTTTGAGTATTTCTCCAGAGTTAAGATCGGTTATTTCTTTTACAAATGCAAATCTGTAGAGTGATGATTTGGCATCTTGGGAATGTCCTATTCTCAATTTTTTGTCTGATGGTTTTATTACCCCAGTCCTTTCCTGAATAAATTATGTTGGAGACTGTGAAAAAGAGTGATTTTTTAATGCCAAAATATTACCAAACCAAACTTGGATTTGCTTGTCCGGTGTGCAGCAAAGCCAATTTACTGACAGTGGGTGTGGTGAAGGGAATTAAAGCATTTATTTGTGGGGTGCCAGGCAGGGTTAATGGGCTTCCCTGGTGGCTCAGATGCTAAAGAATGTGCCTGCAGTGCAGGAGACCCAGATTCGACCCCTGAGTTGAGAGGATCCCCTGGAGAAAGGATTGGCAACCCACTCCAGTATTCTTGCCTAGAGAATCCCATGGACAGAGGAGCCTGGTGGGCTACAGTCCATGGGGTCACAAAGAGTCGGACTCGACTGAGTGATTAACACACAAGCAGGGATAATGAACGGGCAGCTTGTGCTCAAAAGACCGGAACTGTCTGATGGCTTTTAAGTAAGAGTTTTTAAAGACAACATTTGGGGTGAGGGTTGTAGCTCCTTCACTTTCTTCTGATTGGTTGATGGTGAAAATAACAGGCTAACGTTTTGGGAACCTTAATCATCAGCTTTCTTGTTCCAGCCAGTTTCAGGTTTCTGTGCTTATGGTTAGCAGATAATCACCATCTTCTACCAGGTTGGGGACGGTGGTTGGGGGGGCTTAGTTTCTGTAGAAAAACTCGAAGATATGCATCAGATTGTTAGGTATATCCTTTGAGGAGCTGGAACTCTGTTTTCTCACTGAACTGTTTGCTTTTCCTTTGTTTTTGCATTCCCTCACTTCCCTAATTAGTAATTTGCCTTAGTCTACTTAGTGGGAAGGCCTTCGAGACTAAAGGCATTTTCTGCAAATAAAGAACAGGGAACATGGAGGGATTTCTGTACCTGAGAGGCCCCTGCAATATCCTGTTCAATTTCAGTCCCCCCTTTTCTTTGATACTCTTTAATCCTGAGGGGAAGAAGGGCTGAACAAGAAAAAAAAGGCTTTTTCATAGCGTGGTAAGTCATGAACTCAGCAAGGGAACTCTGTTTTAGGGGATTGGGTTTCAGCTATCATTTCTTTTCCGTAAATAGTTGTCATTCTTCTATAAAGAAGAACATTCTTTTTTCTTCTTTCTCTTTTTCATTTATTTTTTAGGTGAAAGAGCTGTGTGGCATTTGGATTGGTCACTTTATTCAACAAATGCTGTGCTGTGCTCAATCACTCAGTCATGTCCAACTCTTTGCAACCCCATGAACTGCAGCCTGCCAGGCTTCTCTGTCCATGGGGATTCTCCAGGCAAGAATATTGGAGTTGGTTGCCATGCCCTTCTCCAGGGAATCTTTCTAACCCAGCGATCCGAGCCCAGATCTTCCACACTGTAGGCAGATTCTTTACCAACTGAGCCACCAGGGAAGCCCTGTATAACAGATGTTTGATGAGAGAAGCTGGGACAAATGAAATTTTAAAATACGAAACTAGCTTATGTTGCTCATTTGTCAAAGGAATCTTATTTTAATCTTTTTGCAACATTAGTACTCACTTCTTAATTTCTGTTATTCTTATAACCTTGAATTTTCATAGATAGCACATTTATTCAGCAAATTATAGAGTGCTTATTAATATTGTTTCAGACATGTGTTAAGCACTTGAAATAGAGTGGTGAGCAATGTGGCTGTCCTTCATGTAGGTTTCATCCTTACAGTTAACAGGACAATGAGAGCCACCCCGACCTAGTGAATGAAGGCAGTCATGAAGCTATATCTGAAGGATCTTGATTGGGAGGGATTACATGGGCTTTTGCTAACAACCGTGTTCATGTAAATGCTTTGAAGTTCAGAACCCTAAACAGTCATTCTTTATGGTTCTCATAAGAAGAATGTACAGTGTAGTTGGCTCCTGCTGTCTTTCGAGTGTAACAATGAATTGTGATTGCAGACCTTTCCCCTCAGTGTGCAGTTTTCTTGAATTTTTCTTCTCTAGGAACATTTTTCTAGTGTTTCTGGTGTCCATGTCTCTGTAAGGTGTGCTTCAGAGACTCCTAAGACTCTGAAGATGCAGAGCAGTAGGGAGGCAATCACCAGCCAAGCCCTGCCTTGTTCACTAGATTCCATCTGGGCCATGTAGTGAAGAGGGAGTACCATTCTCCTGCTGTAATCAAAGAAGTCCATGGAAGAGTAGGAGACTTCTAGAACTGTGAAAATCCTTAGAGGGTTGGGACAACTTAGCATAGCTTAAACTTTAGAAAACCATCTTTTATGAGGTGGTTTCAAGCATGAACTCTGGGCTTAGATACTTTGTCTCTGGTCTCCGCCTCTGGGAATCATGTCTTCTTGCTGAATTGGACCAGCAGCCTTGGGGATGATGATGATGAGAGGCCCCTCCCTATCGCTTCTCAGCTATAAGGCATGGCTGAAATCTGTAACCTCTGAGTCCCCTAAGGACAGGTCAAGTGATGCTTAGCTAGATAAATGTTTGCTAGAGTTACCTCTTCAAGGGATTTTTCCACCAAAGAGAAGTTTTCTTTTTGTTTAACTTAAGCTATATCTTCAGCAGTATCTCCTTTCATGTTAGTAAGATGGCCTTGCCCACAGTTAGGTGTGTACCTGCCTTTAAAGAAATAAGATACCTGTCAGTTACACTGCTATGACCTCAGGTTCTAGAATATCAAGGCAACATTCTTTAGGTGTTTCATTTTGGATTGAACCTAAGTTTAGAATCAGGCAGCTTATTGTTGAAGGGAAAAAGGATATCCCAAGAGACAAGAAAATACCTATTAACTATGGATTGGTTTGGAAATGACTTCTGTAAGTTTCCTGAGGATGTTTCCTTTCTCAACACACGTGCACCTCTGTTGCTTTCACTCATATCATCTGAAGATGAACAACATTTTATCTCCAACTTGAGGTACGAAGTAGGGTGATTTTACCCCCAGCTTTCGCTACTTGATTGGAATATCAAATCAATCTCTTCTTATAAGGAGCCAGGAAAAAGAAAACTGGGCTCAGGAAGAAAGTAGCCTCTATCATTTCCCATGTGTACTTGAAAGGGAGGCAACTGACTAGTTCTTCCTGGCCTTGCTTGGCTAGTGAAAAGAGAAGACCTGACTTGGATGAAAGGGTGCCCGTATATTCTTAACTTAAAATGATGAGCCCTGATCAAGTAAAACTTTATTTCTGGTGGCTGCCAGTAATTTCCACCCTTTTGAAATCAAAACTCAAGAGTCTTGACTTCAGTTAAGAGTTTGAAATAATCAAGGAGGCTTCAGTGGAAGGCAGAATAAATTCTTAGTGCTGCAAGTCTCAATAAGGAAGATAGTGACATGACCACCACCACCACCCCCTCCTGCCCCCAGTCAAAGCACCGGATGTGTGGGGACATGCAGTGGGGAGTGTGTTTAGCTGCCTGAAGAGGTGAAGGTTAGAGTGAGGGTGAAATGGGGAGAGGCTGTGTATGTCATCCAGCTCTCTTCACTCACTTATTAGCAGCTGATAACGAGAATGACTGGAGTCAACCTCCTGCCTTTCACCAGTTGAAGCCCTTCTCTGCTTCTTTCCTTTTTGGTGACCAACCCTCTTGGTCTGCCTGGGACTGTCCATCCTGGGAAAACCCTTAGGCCAGGGCAAACTGGAATGATTAGTCCCCCTGATTGAATTTTGCGGTATTTGAGTAAGACATGTGACCGCTGAGAAACTGCCCCAGGTCCGCTTCCTCTGTTACTAGTTTCTCAGAAAACGGTATATATGTGCAAGATCCTTAATTTAAATAATAACAGTAACTGCTATCTACTATATGCCAAGTACCTGGTGTTTAATCCTCAGCGCAACTATGTAAGTAGGATATTTTAAATCCAGTTTTATGCAAGAGATCAGAGCTAAGGGCTGGGGCAGTTCGTGTTTTCCAAGGTCAAACAACTAGATTGCAGCTGAACCACATTTGACTTTAGTGTGTCTAAAACTAAGCTCTGTCCCCTTTGCACTAGTTGAAGAAGTTGCTGGATTTGATGGCAAATGGTTAGCTGCTCAGATTGAGAAGCTCTATGACCACCAGCTTTACCCTCTGCTTCCAAACTCATTCCTCTTAATGGTAGTATAAGATTCTACCTATAGAATATAGAGTAATATACAGAGTTACAAGCTGTGCGTGCATGTGTGCTTAGTCATGACCAATTCTTTGCAAAACTTTGGACTGTGGCCCTCCAGGCTCCTCAGTCCATGGGATTCTCCAGGCAAGAATATTGGAGGGGATTGCCATGCCTTCTTCCAGAGGATCTCCCTGACCCAGGATCTGAACCCATGTCTCCTGTGTCTTTTGCATTAGCTGACGGGTTCTTTACCTCCTGAGCCATTGTGTGTGTGTGTGTGTGTGTGTGTGTGCTCAGTCACGTCCAACTCTTTGCGACTCTGTGGACCGTAGCCCATTAGGCTCCTCTATGCATGGAACTCTCCAGGCAAGAATACTGGAGTGGGTTGCCATGTCTTCCTCCAGGGGATCTTCCCTACCCAGGGATCTAACCCTTGTCTCCTGTGTCTCTTCCATTGGCGGGTGGGTTCTTTACCGCTAGCGCCACCTAGGAAGCCCCCACTTAGCCACTGGAGAAACCCATAATCTGTGTAGTTCAGTTCAGTTCAGTTGCTCAGTTATGTCTGACTCTTAGTGACCCCATGGACTGCAGCATACTAGGCCTCCCTGTCCATCACCAACTACCGGAGTTTACTCAAACTTATGTCCATTGAGTCGGTGATGCCATCCAACCACCTCATCCTCTGTCGTCCCCTTCTCCTCCCGTCATCAGTCTTTCCCAGCATCAGGGTCTTTTCAAATGAGTCCATTCTTTGCATAAGGTGGCCAAAGTATTGGAGTTTCAGCTTCAGCATCAGTCCTTCCAATGAATATTCAGGACTGATTTCCTTTAGGATGCGCTGGTTGGATCTCCTTGCAGTCCAAGGGACTCTCAAGAGTCTTCTCCAACACCACAGTTCAAAAGCATCAATTCTTTGGTGCTCAGCTTTCTTTATAGTCCAACTCTCACATCCATACATGACTACTGGAAAAACCATAGCTTTGACTAGACGGACATTTGTTGGCAAAGTAATGTCTCTGCTTTTTAATATCTAGGTTGGTCATAACTTTTCTTCCAAGGAGTAAGTGTCTTTTAATTTAATGGCTGCAGTCACCATCTGCGGTGATTTTGGAGCCCCCCCAAATAAAGTCTGTCACTGTTTCCATTATTTCCCCATCTATTTGCCTTGAAGTGATGGGACTAGATGCCATGATCTTAGTTTTCTGAATGTTGAATCTGAAGCCAACTTTTTCACTTTAGTTCTGTCCAAAATCTGTGCAGGAAGCTACAATAACTACTTTAGTTTGATACCTGTAGCAGCCCCTGAATAACTATTCAATTTTTAAAGGAACTACGAAGTAACTGGCACATAGCAGATGCTCAGTTAAGGATAGCTATGCTTCTTATTTTAATTTTGACACATGAGCTATTATATTGAACTGAAATGTTTTAGCTAATGCATGTCAATTCAAACATAAAAATGGCCAAAGATCCAGAATATCCAAGGAAAGAAAATAATACAGTTCTTGAGTTCAAAATTAAGCAAACACATACACACAAAAACCAACTTTTTTTCCCCCACCAAGGAAAAGCTATCTCAGTTATTTGATTTGGAATAGAGAAGAGGCTTCCTTGCCATAATGAGGTGTTACACGTATAATGCTGAGGTAGAAGCAGAAAATTCTAGGGCTCCAAGCTACAAGTACATTTCTGGGGAAAATCTAATCTTGGGGCTCAGCTCTAAGAAATTCCTTTACTAAAATCATTGGAAACTCTTAGTGTAATAATGGAAGTCCCGACTTGTAGGGATCACATTAAGAGGTAAATGCACTGGGTTGTGTGGAGGCATGTAAGAAGCTTTTAGGTTACTCTCAATAAAAACTTGATGTTTTTATGTAATCAGTTCACACCTGAGAGTTGTGCCTTTACTAGAGGATGAAACACAGTTATGGTCACATAATTTATAGCTATATTTGAGGAGGACTCATATAACAGATATAACTTGTTGAAGGTGAAAGAGGAGAGTGAAAAGGCTGGTTTATAACTCAACATTCAAAAAACTAAGATCATGGCATCCAGTCCCATCACTTTAGGGCAAACAGAAGGGGAAAAAGTAGAAGCAGTGGTGGCTTTTCTTTTCTTCAGCTCCAAAATCACTGTGGACAGTGACTGCAGCCATGAAATTAAAAGACAGTTACTCCTTTGGAAGGAAAGTTATGACAAACATAGACAGCATGTTAAAAAGCAGAGACATTACTTTGCCAACAAAGGTCCGTCTAGTCAAAGCTATGGTTTTTCCAGTGGTCATGTATGGATGTGAGAGCTGGACCATGAAGAAGGCTGAAGGCTGAAGACTGATGCTCTTGAACTGTGGTGTTGGAGAAGACTCTTGAGAGTCCCTTGGACTGCAAGGAGATTAAACCAGTCAATCCTAAAGGAAATCAGTCCTGAATATTCATTGGAAGGACTGATGCTGAAGCTGAAGCTCTAATACTTTGGCCACCAGATGTGAAAAGCCAACTCATTGGAAAAGACCCTGACACTGAGAAAGACTGAAGGCAGGAGGAGAAGAGGATGACAGGATGCGATGGTTAAATAGCATCACCGACTCAATGGACATGAAATTTAAGCAAACTCTGGGAGATAGTGAAGGACAGGGAAACCTGGTGTGCAGTCCATGGGGTTGCAAAGAGTTGGACACGACCGAGCAACTGAACAATAATAACAATATATAACGGAAGATATACGTGAATTCAGTTTTATGCAATTCAACAAATGTGTACCCACTAGGTTTCAAGGAGTGTTCTAGAGCCAGGGGATACAGGGAGAAAGCACAGGCGCCCCCTGACCTCAGGGAGTTCACATGGAAGCAGAGGAGATAAGATACATATAGAGGTAGTTTTTCTAGGACCAGTCTGAGTCTTCACAGGGCCTTAGTCTGCTCAGACTTCCATAACAAAATGCCACAAACTGGGTAGCTCACAAAACAGGTACTTTTCACAGTTCTGGAGGCTGGAAGTCTAAAATCAAGGTGCCAGCATGGTTGTGTCCTGGTTTGCAGCCTTCTCATTGTGTTTTTACATGGCCTTTCCTCTCTTATGAGCCAATAGTCCTAATGGACCAGGATCCCACCTCTATTCCTCATTCAACCTTAATTGTCTCCTCAAAGCCCTGTCTCAAAATGTGGTCACATTGGAGGCTAGCTAGGTCTTCAACATATGAATTGGGGGGGATATAATTCAGTCTATAACAATAGGCCCTAACCCACATTATAATGAATATATTAAAATGCACCCATACCAAATGTTATACCCATTATTATTATTATTATTTTGCTGCATAGTAAGTGAAAGGAATTTTATAATTCTGCTTTTGAAATTATTGGGCTCTGAGTAATTTATGATTGGCTGCTACTGCTTAGCAGTCAGTCATTCTTGGAATTTTTTTTATTTTACAAAATTAGAAAATCATCAATTGTTTTCAAATGTAATGAAATAACGTCTGAATTCCAAATTTGATCTTAATGAGATGGATACGATACTAGATTTTTATGTTTAATTGAGCATTAACTAATTTATATTTTGCAGTTTTTATATTTTGTAGCCAATATATTTTTTCCAGGTCTCAAATACTTCTGTAGGCTCTTGTAAAGCTTTCTAGGCCAAATGCCTTGTCTGTAATGTCAAATGGACGAAAGGGTGGGGATGTCTCTTAGCTCTGCTTCACACTCCTAGGTAGGTCACTCCTAACTTTCTTCGCTCTTCCAAACTCTGGTGTGGCATTCCCAGCTGTTGTGTCTCACTGGTACTATATCCTGGCTGTGTTCCAAGCACCCTTGTCCCTTCCACCCTACCTCGTAGTTTGTTGTCCTTGCCATCTCTGTTACATTGACATCACCATCTACCTGGTAGGAGACCCAGAAGTCATTGCAGTGATCATCAGTCTCCCAAGTCCCCCTGTTTCAGGTTTCAAGCTGTTATCAGGATGACTACATGGGAATTGCCTGGAAACTTTGAATACCGATTTCCATGCCTCATCCCTGGAGTCCTGTGTAGTGGTCTGGTGCTTGGGTATCATAGGGCTTGGGAATTTTTTTTTAACAAGCTAGTTGCTGTCAGGTTTGAGAAGGTATGGACTTGGGCAGTATTGGTGGAATGAAACAAGAGATGTGGATATTCATAACAAGAACAATGTTCCCTATATTATGATAACATGAAATCCCATTGGCTTTAATGTTCCATATCAGAGGTTCTCAAAGGACTCCCCAGCTGTTTCCAAAATGCCCCCAGAGTGTTGCCTTAAGGATGTTCAGGAGCATTCTCTCCTGGCCTCTAGTCTTTGTGTTCCAGAATAGGAAATGGCAGCCCACTCCAGTATTCTTGCCTGGGAAACCCCATGAACAGAGGAGCCTGGCAGGTTATAGTCTGTGGGGTCACAAGAGTCAGCCATGATTTAGCGACTGAGCATGTACACCCTGTAACAACAGCCATTACAGGAAGAAATTCTGCTGTCTCTTTATTTTCTCTCAAGTATGAGGCAGGCTCTTTATTTCTCCATAACACATCAGAGACCAAGTGCAAACTCATAATGAAGCTTGCTAAAAGAGCAGAGCAAAACGGAATAACTCCTATTATGTACAGGCTCACATGCATTTTCAGGCGCTCTACCCTACTCTTGACCCGCCCCTTCCTTCTAGTTTATCCTTCACTCTAGTACTCATTCCAGATATATCCCTATGGTAAGAGTTCAGGCAAAACTAACTTTCATTCCAAGAAAGAGATGGAAATTTTTTCTCACCTTGCTGTTGAAGCCTGTCCCCTGGGCCTGGTTTTTTATTTCAGAATGATTGAGCAAAATAGCTGTGCCCTTCAGGGAAAATCAAACCAAAGTTGTACTTTGTGGCTGCACTAGGACAATCATACATACAGTACTTTGGTGTCGAGATATATTCTGAAGTCCAGATTATTCACTTAAATGATACCATCTGTTCAACTTCAATAGCCTCATCCAGATTTAGATGTATTTATGCTTAGTCTAATTCTTTATTTGTCTTTTTAATAAAGGTTCAAAATCCTTGCAGTATAGCCTTACTCATGGTCACTTTGTTACACATGCTCTGGGCACAGTAAATGAATTATGTGTCCATCAGTTGATGTAATAACTGTATATGGTAGTTTTTTCTTTTTAAATTTGAACAAACAGAAAGCAGAGAGGTTAAGCAGCTTAACCAAGGTCAAGCTTCCAGGAAAGAGCACACTGAGGTTTGAACTGAGGCCCCTTGGTTCCAAATCTGTGAATCTAACTATTATGAAACAAGGAGAAGCGCTGAGGTAGACTGAATATTGAACTTGAGTAATGGGACTTGGAAGAGTAATGCCGTTATTTTAGTTCAGTTCAGTCGTTCAGTCGTGTCCGACTCTGCGACCCCATGAATCTCAGCACGCCAGGCCTCCCTGTCCATCACCAACTCCCGGAGTTTACTCAAAGTCATGTCCATCGAGTTGGTGATGCCATCCAGCCATCTCATCCTCTGTCATCCCCTTCTCCTCCTGCTCCTAATCCCTCCCAGCCTCAGGGTCTTTTCCAATGAGTCAACTCTTCACATCAGGTGGCCAAAGTATTGGAATTTCAACTTCAGCATCAGTGCTTCCAATGAACACCCAGGACTGATCTCCTTTAGGATGGACTGGTTGGATCTCCTTGCAGTCCAAAGGACTTTCAAGAGTCTTCTCCAACACCACAGTTCAAAAGCATCAATTNTTGTGATCCACACAGTCAAAGGCTTTGGCATAGCTAATAAAGCAGAAATAGATGTTTTTCTGGAACTCTCTTGCTTTTTTGTTGATCCAGCGGATGTTGGCAATTTGATCTCTGGTTCCTCTGCCTTTTCTAAAACCAGCTTGAGCATCTATGGGGGAAAAACTCGGAAGAGGTGGTGTGACGGAGGAGGAGGGAGGGAGGTGGTAAGGTCAGCTTGGGCTCTGGAACAAGAGCCACTGGGCATCATTGGGTCTTTGTCTCTCTATCACTCTGTCCTGGCTTGAGGATTATCTTTCTGAATCGTCTTCTTTGTTTCCAAGTTAATCACCATCCTTGACTCTCTAGGAGCCGTGCACCAGCCCAGGCTGTGGTGAAGCAGCCTGTCCGGGGAGCCAGCGGCAGGACGGCAATCACAGCCATTGTCCGGACTGGTGGGGACTGGAGCACCGGCCTCTTCAGTGTCTGCAGAGATAAGAGGATCTGTATGTTTTTTCTCTTCCTTTAAGTTCTTTACTATTTTCTTTCCTGAGACACCAGTGGGTAGAAAAACTACATCAGGTGCAAGGACAGAAATTAAATGGTTTCAGACTAGTTGAACTAATATTCTAGTGACTCCAATATACTCCTTGGCAGGAAGAATTTTGTTTTCAGTTATGTGGATGTTTTGAAAGAGTAAGTGGTGACTTAAATTTTTTTTTAAATGACAAAATCCACTGTAAACAAAGATGCACAAAATGGGCTCCCTTGTCTGCAGCTGATGGAACATAAATTATTACAGGTTTCTTGGTGAATGGCTCGTAATACCTGTAAAAATGACCTCAAGTGTGATGTAGCCTTTGACCTAGTAATTACATTTTTAGCCATTTAGTCTAAGGAAACAAATCATATGCAAGGTTTTAGCAGCGTCATTAAAATTGGCAGCACTGGTTATTGTAGCAACAATCTAGAACAAACTAAGGATTCAATGGGGGCTTCCATACCATGAATTATTATACAGCTTTGAAAAGTCATAAGTATCATAGAATGATACTTACTGAGATGGAAAAATTTTGGGATACATTTTTAAGTTAAAGAATCAGATTGTAAAACCACACACATTAGATATTATTTGAGGGAGGATATTTAGAGAATTATCTGGAAGAATACAAATACAAATGCTTACAGCAGTTGTCTCCAGATGGTATGATAATGAATAATTTTTCTTTTCGCTTATTTCTAGTATTTCTGTGTGAGGAAAGTGTATTACTCTTATAAAAGTAAGACCAATCATAAAAAGAAGCTCCCTTTGTTGACTGAAATCTTTTCAGATGTTGGTTTAGCTGTGAAGTACCCACAATACTCTACTGCATGATTTTCTCCTGGGTTAAAGTTCAAAGCACATGGATTCTATTTTTACCTTAGGACTTTCTGACTGGTCTCTGGTACCACCTGTCAGTATCCTTTTCCAGGACCTGATGCTCTTGCCCTAAGGAGTAACTTGGTCACAGAATCTCCTTTTTGCTTGGGGGTGGTTTCCTTTCTGATGGATGAGGGCTAGTCTCTTAAATTCAATAGACTTGAATATTTTCAAAGAATATGGCTTCCCATCCTGTAGAGGCTCTGGCAAGATCTGAATTTGTCCTAAAGCCTCACAGGATGGATCAACCAGAGACCTCTGAGCCATCATCCAATCCAAAGCTTATTCAGCTGGGTCTTGCTGAGTCAAAAGCTCTAAACCATTTTTGGCGTTCTGATCATCCAAGCCTGAGCCTTCATCGTTTGCCTGGGCCTCACAGACAAGAGACCTCCCAGCGCTAAACCATAGCTTCTGTCGCTGTCCCTTTGACCATCTGACCCAGAGCCAGGCAGATTTCTTCCTGCCATTGCTACCCATGTGAACTCCTGACCAGACAATTATGGCAACTGTTCTCTGATTCTCTCAGGATTCTTCCTGGTTCTTGTCCACACTCTCTGACCTTGGTTGTTACCCACTATTGTAGTACAGAGAAGGCAGAATAACCATAGGGAGATACAGAGACCTTACCCCAATTTGGGAACTGGACGATTTTCCTTTCATAGCTTGTAGCTGGTGATTGGGAGTTGGGGTATCAATGTATTTCCAAGTAGAGCAAAGCTTGATATATAGTGTAGTGGCTAAGAGAACATATTTGTGTTGGGTATAGTCCTCGCTTTAATCTTAACTCTTAACTTAATCTTAACTCTGCCTCTTACTGGCAATTTGACCTTGAACAAATTCTCAGAGTTTTCATTTTTTCACCTCTAAAATGAAGGTAAATAAAGGTGCCCACCTTAAAGATTGTCAAGGTTAAAACAGATAAGGCATAGAACCCACTCAAGAACACTGATCTGGAACATAACTGGATCAAAATTCCTGTCCACCTATAGGCTCTGCATGTGGCCTTATTTAGAAACAGTCTTGCATTGTTGTCAAGTTAATAAGAGGTTATGCTAGATGAGGGTGGGCTCTAATCCAATGACTGGTATTCTTAAGGAAATTTGGACAGACACACAGCAAAGATTGCCATGTGAAGACAGGCACAGATTAAATAATGCATATATAAGCCAGAGACTGTCAAGGATTGCCAGCAACCACCAAAAGTTTGGAGACAAGAATGGAAAAGACTTTCCCCTAGAGCTTCCAGAGGACCAACTCTGCCAACACATTGACTTCAGACTTCTAGCCTCCAGAATTCTCCAGTGAGAAAATACTTTCTATTGTTTTGAGATGTCCAGTCTGCGATATTTTGTTATGGCAGCCCTAGGAAATTAATACCAAAGCAAACACTGAATTTCATTAGGCGGCTATGGGGGGCAGTTCACAAAATCAGGAAATAAAACAAAAACCTGCGCTTACAAGGGACAAGATGCATTATCAGGAGATAGTTGACAAACTGGTCAACTCCAAACATTTTAATCCTTATGCTTTCCTGTCTGGGAATTACTCTGTCAGCAATGGAGCCAGTTTTGCCTAGCCTAAGTCATGCCTGCTGCTTGACCAGCCCAGGGCATTTTGAGTGACAGTTCTACCAATATGGCTGGCCACAGTGAAGGGGTATTTTCCTAAATTCACTACTGGGGTGTGTTACCAGGAACACCCCCCTCCCCACTGCAATAATACACAGTGATGACCTTAGTAATCTCAGGTATTAATACTGTTATTATAAATTTTTATCTTCCAGCATGTTGAGAGCAAAGAGTAGAATCAGGAGACTTAGACTAGCTGCTGCCTAATTCCAAGAGTACTTAAAAAAAGTTGATTGAAGAAAGGACGGTTCCCCACCCCCTCCGCCTTAAACCCTGCACACTGGGTCTTCTGGGTCCCTGCTTGTCCACTTGAGAGCCCATTCTAGGGGCCAGGGAGGAAGGAAGGACATGTGAAGAATACAGTATTCTTTACAGTTGGATGTGACCTGCACAGGAGAGGCCATGGATATTATAGTACCAGGTGATGGCGAATGTTCTGTGTCCTAACTGATCTTCCCTGGATGGGCCTCTGCTTCGTGACTGCTCATAGAGTCTCCAAGCTCATTGTCTCACCAGAAAATTTAAAGGCAGTATGACCTTATACACTGGTTGTCTGCTCCACAGTTCCCAGGACGCAGGTGGAGCACTAGTGCCATGAGTGGTGGATTTTTTTCCTTCTTTGTTTAAAAGGTCTACTTCAACCACAAAATTTTATTTCAAGCAAATCACTGTGACAGTAGTTGTGGCAAACTTGGAAACAAAAGGGAGATCTTCTTTCCATGACTTTGTTTCACATCAGGTTCCCATCCTGGAAACCGTTTTTTGCATTAAATGTTGAGAATGACTGCTACAATTTGTCATCCATTAAGCAAAGGGTACATTATGAGCAGTGATGATTTCCATTTATTTTTGACATTTTGATTCTTCATTTAATTGCGGTTCTATTTTTTAAACTGCCTCCCTCTTCCCACCTCAGCTCTTTCATCTGAATTCACACTGCACAGGGATTAGAAATAGGTGCTTCTATGTCCTTTGAAGATGCGGCTTCTGAAAGCTCAGTTGAGAAGATGAAGCCAAGATGAAATAAGTGGCTGCGAAATGGCTTCATGGGTGAAAGGCTGGCCGTTCCAGCTGGGGATGTTTGTGATGTTGTCTCAGAGGAGGTTGACATGGAAGGTGTAATCAACCTGGGTTTATAATTCAGCCAGTATTTACCTATGTATAGTCATGTGATAGGTGTTGCAGACATAATAGTGAATAAGACAGAGATGGTTTCTGAGACGAGATAGGCAATAAGCAAATAGACAAAATAATTGCAGTGGTGCTAAATGCCATGGAGGAAATAAACAGGGTGTTCTGAAAGGAAATTATAGGGGGTAAGTAAAGGATGGCATCTCTGGGGAACTGACTTAAGCTGATTCCTGAAAGATGGGAAACAGCCAGCCACTAAAACCACCTTTCCTTTGGAGGCACCACAAGTGTCAGGCAACAAAGAGCTTTGTGTGGACGAGGAATCATCAGATGCCCAAGGTGGGGAGGGGGAAGCAGGCCAGGAATTTCTCTTTGGTTTTCTGGAAGAGGAAGAGACATGAAAAGGCCCCAGGCTGGGAGTCACATCCCTGAACTGTATTTTGGGTACACTGCATACCATCTGCAAGCAGTGACAACTGGTCGTGCTCACTGGTCTTGCCCAGCAGAGATCTGACTAACAGGAGGCACTTATGAATATTTCCTGAATGACAGACACATCAGTGAATGAATTTTAACCTGTATTCTCACTTGCTTCCTTCTTTCCTGCACTTCACTGAATCAATCATACAGAGTCAGGAGGGATATTGAGGTCACCTGGTCTGGGCCCTCAGCAGCTTGTCTAAGTTCTTCCTACAGGAGGCGTGGCAAGGACCTGACAGCCTTGGCTTTCTGAACATTTTTGGGGAGGAGGGCTCCTCTCCCTTGGAGCCAGCTCAGTGCTTTAAAAAAATGATTTTGAATAGATTACCAGGCACATGGTACAAAATTCAAAAGTACCTGTCCCTTTAGTATATGAAGAACAGGAAGTTCATCCCTGTTCTCCCGTGCTTCCCAGTTCTCCCCAGAGCCCATCACTCTCGCCTGAGTCCCAGTGTAGTCTGTAAAGATATAAACCATTTTAATGAAGATAGATTAATTTTTTTATTAGAAAAGTATCATATAATCATGGGAATAAAGAAAAGTATAAAAGATTATAAAAGAAGAAAGCTGTACCCTATAAATCCAGCCATCAGAGATAAACATTGTTAATATTTCAGTATCTATCCTTCCAGATTTTTTCTGTATATGTGGTATATATAATTGATGCAAATAATGGAATTATAAACACACAATTCTGCATCTTTATTTTGTTTTAATTTAACAATATAGGTGATCAGACCTTATCAGCTCTTCTGGAGCTAATATTTTAAATGGCTGCATAGATTGCATTGTATGAATGTGCCATAATTCATTTATCCACAAATTCTTATAAGCAGACCTTTTTGTG